ATATATATATATATATATATATATATATATATATATTCTGAGGTTCTCGCGGGTATTTGTATGTGGATCTTTGGTTATTCGGGTTTTCTCCCGCGTAAGATTGGAAGTATCTAGGCAACGTTTCGATGAAGTCTCATTCATCATCTTCAGGCTTCTGTCTTCAGCTCTGTGCTTCTCAGAGTGTGTGTGTGTGTGTGTGTGTGTGTATATATATATGCTCAATACAGAAGCCTGATGATGGCAGATGAGATTCTGCTGAAACGTTGCTACAACTTTAAAAGCACCACTACTATGATGTGGGAAAATACCCGAACAAAGTTGAAGGCCATACATGTAAGTACCCGCGAAAACTTAAGAATATATATATAAATTATTTTTAAATATTAAAATTATATTTAATATAAAAGTAACATTTTTATATTAAATATATTATCCTTTTTTAAAAAAATTAGTGGTCCTTGGGATTTAAAAATATGAGTTTGGTGGTCCCTGAGGTCCAAAATGTTGGCGACCCTGACCTAGACCATAGCAGAAGCAGGTAACTTTTTGTTGGCAAGGACCACATTTAACCTTTTTTTTTTGTTCAAATTTTTGTACATATGTGTGCAAATAGGGTTTCAAATGACATGGTGGCAGCCATATGTGGATCAAACTACTAATATTATTTTCCTGTTATGTATGTGTATCCATCCATTTCCTTCAATAGAGGAAAGGAAAGATGAAAGATACAAAAACAGTATTAAAAAAGCATTGCTCAATAGCAGAATAAATTTTTAAAAGATGAAATGAATCTCAAGGAGGCAGATACATTACAAGGTGTTTCCTCAAGACTCAGGTATACTGAGATTAGATTTTATAGATTAGACTCCATGAAATTCCTAGTCTCCTGCAGATGATATGCCACTACAAAGAAAAAAGCCTATGAAACTTTTACAATACAGATAAGAAAAATAAAGAATTTGGCAATTTTGAGCATATTCTCTTCTCAATGTGAATTTCAATGTAGCTATACACTGAAAGATATATATTCTGTTGTACATGAAAACATCTCCTTTCATCACTACCGTGTTTCTCATATAATAAGGCCGGGTCTTATTTTTTTTTGAGCCCCGAAAAAATGGCTAGGCTGTCTTTTCGGGGGTGACTTAATTCCCCCCCCTTGCATCTTTGGGCGGGTGGGCAGCGATGGCTTGGATGTTGACCTCGGCGTTGGTGGGGCACTTCATATTGGGTCAACGCAGGCAGCACAATATCCAGGTGTGCAACAAAAGTACTTCCTAACGGCAAGCCCCCCCACCATTCCCCCCCATTTCGCATGTTTTAATATAGGCCTTAATTTGGGGGGAGGGGCTTAATTTCATTTCATGCCTATAAAACATGCTGGGACTTCCTATTGGGGGAGGCCATATTGTTGGAGAAACAGGGTATAATCCAAAAATTACATGGCTGCTTCGAGTTTGTTGGGAAAAATGAATTCACAACCTTTGCTACTATCACACCATTACATAATACCATAACGTCTAGTAGGGTGAGGGAAGCAGAGATGATGCATTAATATAACATCATGTGAAAATATTACTTAAAACTCTATTAATCAAGTTCCTACTGCTGGATCATCCATGAAAACTCCCAATAGCTTTACCTATCCTGGTGATCTCCAACTGAGTCCTATTGGCGAGAACCATTGAAAATGGCGAAAAGAAAAAGATAATGCATAATGTGTGATCTCAGATGTTTTACAAGAAGTAGATCTGCATTAGAACCTCTGAATTGTTTCACTTAGGGTTTCTTTAGCAAAGAAGGAACATAGAAAAGGATCATTAGCTAGTTTGAGACATCAGTCTATAATTCTAAGGTTTTTGTTTAAATCTTAAATTGAATTTGGACAAGATAGATAATTTATAGTTAACTTTCATTTTTTTTTGTTTCTGGAAAGATAAAAGACTAAGCTACCAAAAGTAGGTTGCTGTGGCTTTCAAATGTCATCAGTATTTCTAAAAGTATTTCAGATTTTTCCATCTTCTAATGATATCTTTGGCTCTGTTAGACCACCATTTGTTTTTTTCTAAAATAAAACTCAATGTCTTTTTTAAAGTGTTGGCTAGCCCTACATTGCAAATTGTAGGAAAACCAACCACACCAACCATTGTTGGCTACGGTCTGTTGTGCCACCTGTTTATTTTTGCCACCAATATACAAGTTGCTGTCCCATTGTTACTGCCAGATTGTAATATATCACATGTCACCACATAACACATTTTATGGCTTAACCATAGCTTATTGGATAAATTACAATTTGTTATGCATATATACCATACTAAACCATAAAATCCAATCTACAAGCCCTCACAATCATATAACTCATTAAGCTTTAAAAGCATGGTATGATCCCTCATGGAAAAAAGAACTTAGATGGATTTTGTTTTTATAGAAAGGTAGGTAATTCTCATTATGTGATCATTTTATACTACACTGAATTTTAAGTATGGCACAGAAAGTTTTGAGATTAAATAAAGAAGCAACTCAGGTCTGTATTTGCTATGAAGAGGTTCTTCTCACTGTGTCCTGAATAAATCACCTTGTGACATGCATTTCAGGGTTAAGTACTGTTTTTGGTTCTTGCATAAGCATCTATATGACTGCTTCAAGATTTCTAGGAAAAGAAAAAATCCCATTTCAACAGTTAGGTTTATACCACGTGGTAAACTACAAATAGTGTGATTTGAGTCACATTTGAACTTAGCTTCTATGATTCATGCTTGATATAGGCTAATCAAACTCAGAGAACTAGATTAATTGAACCACAATTGAATTAATCCTGAAAGCTATAAGAACACATCAGATAAAGTGATTTACTGCCCTTTCATATTCAAATGATATACTTAATTGGATCAGAAGGATGCATGTTTTGCTCTTGAGATGTAAATCTAATCAAGTTGGTTAAAAAAGAACACTCCCTGGAGTCTTAGAGACTAAGACAATGCTTCCTCAATCATATGATACAAACTATTTCTCAGGATTACATTATCTGCCTCTTTCTGAGACAAAGTGATAGAGTGGCTCCCAAATGGGCCTTCTGTAAATATTTCTCCACTATGCCCATTTCTTTCTCTATGGCATAGGAGGGACAATTAAAAAAATAAGCTCCAACATTATTTATCAGCTTATGATTATATTGCTGATTTATTTATTTACTCCACTTTGGGGAAAGCCAATTTCATAGCTTCCTTGAGGTTGAGAGAACTCGGAAAACAATAATTTCCCACTGACAAAGCCATCCATAGTTATGTCTTGTTGATCACTGCACAAGGAAAAGTCAAATGAATTCTGGGGAATGGGTAACTGGGTTGTCTCAACATAGTAAGTGCAGGTAACCATAAGTATGAGTTATATGAGGTGTATGTAAATTATAACAAGCCATGGCCCCAAAATATAAGCAAGCATTTATATCTAAGCTCCAGTTTGGATTTCTCTCTACTTATGAGTGCACTCAATATAACTCAAAATCAAATTAAATTATTATTCTGATACATGTGTGAATGCAGTCTATGGGAGAAATCTATTAGTACACATTTCTCTATGGTTGAATTTCTAAATTAAGCTACATCTGCAATTTGCTGTCTGCCATGCAGCTATTTAAAAAGAAAATTCCAAAGCAGAATTTACTTCACACATAATCTTGGCAGAGGCATCAGGAATAACTATATTTGCAAATGGACTGTACATATTATTCAGAAAGAAATCCCAATAATTCAGTATGGCCTCCTCAGAAACAAGTGTTGGATGGTGACTCCCTAGATTCCCTATAAGGATGTAACAGCAATACTCAACTGCTTAGCTATGTCTTCTCATCCTTTTTACAACTGCATAGCTATTTCTCCCAATCATATTGGTTCTCTAAAGTATGTAAAGACACATATGAAGCATTCTTGGCTTCTCCACTGATCCCTTAAACAAATCAAGTTCAATCTTTAAATTGGAGTAGGATGATTACTCTAAACATATTTCAAGTGTCACAATAGAATAACTAATAATTATTATGGTTATCATTATAAGAAGACAAACATTTAGGGGGTGTGGTGGTTCTGGTTTGTTTGCCAAAAATTATTTAGCTGCATATTATTAATTAACCTCTGCAGTGCTTTAGTACCTACTTCAAAACTCATTGTCTCAGGATATTTTGGCTCAGTTCTGTTCAGAAAAGAAGAATACCTGATAGTAGCACATGAACTTGTTTCATTCAGTTAATAAATCCACAGCAAACTATTTCAATTTGTAGGGTTGGGCCAGGATATATGAGCTTTGGGAGAGAAGATTAGATTATCTTGCTTTCAAACAAGATTCTAGTGTAAGCAAATTTACAACATGCAAAGTCAAATATCAAACAATTCTTTGATGAATTAGCTGAAGTATAATATGCTTTATACAATAGAATATCAGTTCAATAAGTTGGAAATAGGGAGATTTATATATGGAACAGGAAACATCTATTTAACTACAAATTTTAGTAACTCCTTTCCCCAATGCAGCAAGTCCATTTCAAACAGCATTTAAAAAAAAAAAAAAGCTTGATTATATCCCACTTCCCATTCAAAAACAAGTAATTTATCTGTAAAATAAAATAGGCTCTCCTACCTGATTTCCTTTTTGAGGATCCATAATCCCTGAAAAAAAGGCAACAACAGATAGACATGGTTAGATTCTGGAGCATAGGGAGGAAAAAGGTGAGATCCCAGGCTCTTATCGGCTTATTCAGAGATACATTGTGGTATCCTGTTTTAAATTGGAGCTGGGGACCATAAGGCATTGACACACTTAAACAGCCGCGATATAGTTTCCTAGATCAGCAGCAGCAGCTGCTGGCGCTCTTGCAGCAATTGAGTATGAGAAAGCCCATGTGATCTATCAGAGAGACCAGACCATCCAGGCAAAGGAAGGGGGAGAGAGAGGATATAAATTCTTTCTTCTCTTTAAACCAAGCTGTTCTAAAATTCTGGTAGAGCTGTTGCTGATTCTTAACTCCTTATTGTTCTCCTCCGACTCAGAGACACAAGCCTGCTGGCTATTCTCTGTGAAGTTCCTACATTTTGCTTTAGGCAGAATTTTGTGATGCTCAGGGTCCTTTGGTTTCAAAAGCTGTTTGCCATCTGCATTGCTGGCAGCTCCTTCTAGTTATCTCACCTAACACTTGCCTGTATAAAGAGAAAAAAATCTCTCTGGCTTCTTTCACATTACAACAAATACTGGGGATGATTTTCTTTCCTCACTGGCAAAATGAACGCTAGAGCAAGCCAGTTGTTTTGACAAGGCGCCTTTTAGGAAAGAAATCACGCTTATCAGGATATCACATGGTGCAGAACAGCATGGCTAGTCCTTAAGAAGAATCTCTTGTATTTCTAGTAGAGCAAATTACTTTTTTAAATAGCACAATCCCATGTCTGATTCTTTCAGTAAAAGTTGCTAGTTTTTGTGTAACAGTGACAAGAGATTCAGGGGTACCATTTTTAAATTTTTAAGTTTTTTTTAAAATTAATGCATATCTTTATCAGGGGCTTCTACAAAGTCCTTTTCCACAAGATATAAATATGGCCTTTAAAAATGTTTGCTAGTATTTCTTTTTTGTCCCTGCCAGTTATTGGCTTTTCAGATGGATCTAGGTATATTTTTCAACACTGAATTAAATATGTGTAAATGACTCACAGCCTCTGAAAACAATGTGAACTTGATATGAATGTTAATGTTAGTAATAATATTTGAAAATTAATTACTCCATTCCAGTAAGTGTGATGGTTTTATTCACCATATTACAAAAAGTAATGTGAAATGAGAAAAAATGTGAGGTATAGTTAAATTAAAGCCATCCAAATATAATCCTGTATTAATATATTCAGTTTAAAGTTCCATTGGGTTTAAGTAGGCTTACGCATAAGCAATACGATCTGAAACAGAGTAACCTCCATTCTTAAATGCAATGCTATACATTCTGAGATATTGATTGTCATTTATATATATTGACATTTAATTTTAGGTAAAGCAAAGGAGTTGTGGGGAAGCAGTGGTTGGAATGCAGTATTGTAGGCTGCTTCTCTGCTCACAGCCTAGAGTTTGATCCTAACCAGCTCAAGATTGACTCGCTTTCCATCCTTCTGAGGTCAGTAAAATGCGGACCCAGATTGTTGGGGGGAAATATGATGACATTTTAAATCGCTTACAGAGTGCTGTAAAGCACTATGGAGTGGTATATAAGTGCTATTGCTATTTATATATTTATATATTTTATTGGAGGAAATCAGAATGATTTTTCTCTTTGCCTATATACTACTAAAATTCTTTTTCTTGTAATATTTAACTTGCGAAACTAAAAATTGTTGGACAACAATATTTGTTCCAAGGTACCTCAAATGAGCTAACTTACAGAATGCATCCAAAATATGAGTCTGAAATTTCACAAATTTGTGGTTGCTGCAGTGCTGCCACCAGTTCAGTAGACTGAATCTGTCCTAGCTTTCCAGAGGCCAGATACACTGGCCCCTACTATGGCCGCTATATATCAGGTAGACCTGTTCTGACCCTTTTGGTCTCATCACTGGCTGCCAGAGAATGGTTAGTTGTGGTCAAGCTGGCAGGAAGTTGGAAGTTGCTCCCATTCCCATTGCTTTTTTGCCCATTCTGTTTATGTTTATGTAAGGAAATATCTCTGAAATATGTTATGGATTGTCTAGTTTTTACTAACATTCAGATTCATTAAGACTACAATTGTAGAAGTCCATATGATCTATAATATCTCTACAAGCTGGAAAGGAGAATCAATGTATAACACAAACTTTAGCTGTTTCTATTCAAAGCTCATGACTTATCTGTATGAAACAGCTGTAGAAGATGATTATGAAGATTATTCAAAGAAAGGTATAGGTGAGCAATGTTAAATGTAATGGCTTATAGATTATTTCTATTTATGATTTTTTTATTCTATTTATTTATGTTTATGGTTAATTGACTCCCAGATGTAAAATGATATATAAGCAATTCATAAATGGAGGAGATAACATTTAACATGTAGTGTCTGAGGTGACTTGTATGTGAACCGTGTATTTTCATTGCACTGGAGCCTTAATGAGATATTATTCAGGCAGGCCAGGAGGGTACCATGCTTTAGGGTTATATACATATCCTTTTCCTAATGAAGAGTTTTCGTTCTGCACTTTCTGAAATAAACAGAGAAGACCTCAAAAAATGCTGTCTGCCTCATGTGTTCCTTTTGCTCCAGGCAAGGAATTTGGAGCTCTTGGGCTTAATATACCATACAATGGGAACCATTCTGAATCTAAGGAAAAACTCAACCCAGATTGTGAAGGGACATATTGAAGAGGGTCCACAATGCAGCAATTTAGATCAGGAAATGAATAGAATATTTCTTCCTTCAATTTCATTGGTTTGCCTTGGAAAACAAAGGAATAGATCAGAAGAATACACTGCAGCAGGCTCTAGTCTGCACAGTCAGCTGTATTCATCTACTCTGGTATATAACCTTGTTTCTACAAATATATATATAAACAAGAGCCAAATAACCTTTTGCTTAAAACTCCCAACCAAAATGCCTAACATCAGTGGCCTAATAAATAGTCTGGATGTTGCAGTGCATGAACTTCAGCCATATGTTATGTGGTACCTTACTGTTCATAAACAGGCATTTGTTTCCATGTGCACTAGAAGAAAGATGGCCTAATGGGAAAGTGCATCTTCTGAATGCAAAAGATTTAATCCCTAGTGTTTACACATAGAGATAATAGCAATCTTAAGTCTATGCACGTATGTATGTCTCCCACTATGCTGCCCCAGGACTCTTACTCAAAACAGAGAAATAGAACTTAGTAGTTAGGAGCAATATACAAGGGATAAACAAATAAATAAAACAACAGTACTTGCCAAACAACTGGGTTTTCACTGTCTACAAATAAATTCAACAGGTTGTAATTGGATTTAGATCTGTGTAAGTATAATAGAGTCTGGTCTTATGAATATTTACTTAGAAATAAGCTCTACTCTGTTCAGAACTAATTTGTATCAGATGGTAGCATATCCTCTGAATCTAATTTTTGTTCCATGTGAAAAGTTTTCAGTCATTGTTTAATTATGAAAAGTGTTAAATAGGTGAAACAATTAAAATACACAAAAGGAAAGAAACATAGTCCTCAACTTACAGCCATTTGTTTAGTGCCCAGGTGAAGTTACAACAGCATTGAAAAAAGTGAATACAACCAGTCCTCAAGCCTACAACCATTTCACATTCCTATGGTCACATGATCAAAATTTAGATGCTTGGCACAAGCTTGTATTTAGGGTGGTTGCAGTGCCCTGGGTCACGTAACTGCCATTTGCATCCTTTACAGTCATCTTCTGGCAAGCAAAGACAATGGGAGAAGCAGGATCCGTTCAGCTCACTACCCGGTTCACTTAACTGCAGTGATTTGCTTAACAAGTATGGCAAAAAGGGCCATAAAATTGGGCCCAACTCACTTAATCAGGATTTAATCACTTAAAAGGATGCTGGCACACAGAAGATACTTCAATGAAAGCTGACTGGGGAATTCTGAGAGTTGAAGTCCACAAATCTTAAAGTTGCCAAGGTTGGAAATCCCTGCTGTAAAATATATCTGAGGCTACACATTTATGCTGATTTCTTTTTCATCTTTGAAACTGTATTACTTTTCTACTTGGGGGCTTTACTGGGTTTTTTACATTAGACTATTGCATATGATACACACACTTCTCACACACACACACACACACACACACACACACACAAAACGGCTCCATGTCTCTTGGAGAAAGCAAGGACTAGGAAGAAGCAAAACAGAAGGCTTTGGGAGACCATGATGATCAATTAAAAGCATATGACTTCCTCCTGAAAAGGTCATCCAACATTGGGATATGCAACATTGATGTTTACTGCCAGCTTTTTCTTGGAAAGATGAAGCAACAAAATGCAGCAGAAGAAAAAGACAATCTTACTTAAGAATTGTATCTTCCATCTGGTTTAGTTTTGCTTTGTTTATCCTCTTGGTTTGTACTTTTTACATGCAAATGATTTTTTTATTAATCTCATGAAAGACAGATCCTAAAGAAAAATCTATTTTGTAAAGACATTTTTGTAATTATGGCTTTCGTAAGAGTGTGCATACATGTGCTTACTCTGATGCCTCCTATGGCTTTTCTTGAAGATAGCTTTCATTGAATGTAAATAATCACCCCCCAAAAAGACAAAAGCATAATCCTGAGGACACTGTTTTCTTGATTTTTATTGTTTGAAATATAATTGTGAACAATATAATATTTATGTATAATAAAAAAGGTTTGCTAAGTTTAAATGAATGTTTCTAATATAAATGGGTTTTCATAGCTGTTAGAAATATATACTGACAAATTTAAACTTCTGAGAAAGTGATTCCTGAAATAGTTGCTAGCTCCTGACTCATTAAATAAATACATGTGGTTAATTTCAGCCTGGATTAACTGTTATGGAAAATAAACTTATGTTTACTTCCCCAATAGAAGAAGGGCACCATGGAGTTATTTTTTTCACCTAGCTATCATGCTCTTAACTAATTCACTGCCACAGTTGACTTTATTTGAATTTATCTGCCATGTTTGACTTTAATCTGGTTTGTTAAAAAGTGTTTTCTTTGGCATTGTGAATGATTAAAGCTTAAAAAATTGGTTTGAAAGGGTCGTTATGATAGGCATCACATTTATTTCCCTTCTCATGGCAGAGAGCTTTGCTTCCATTGAGGGGCTTGTACTTAGGGCAGGGATGTCAAACTCGCAGCCTGCGGATCGGATGCGTCATGTGCTGGTCATGCCCACCCTAAGTTTAGCAAAGGGGAAAAAGTCGCGATACGTCATGTGACAACAACATGACGTCACGAGCTTGACATCCCCAACATAGGGTATCATTTAGCCCTAATCCAGCTCTGGGTAATTGGCATATAACACTAAAATCTATTGATTTATGTGTTCACCCCAAAACCTTTAATAAAAACCAAACAAGTCATTTATTCCTAGTTGTGCCATATGAACTAAAGTTTAAAGTACTTTCATTACTTTTCAAAATGTTTTTGTGATTCAAAGTATGTAGTTTTACACCACCCACAGAAATACTGTTTCTAAC